ATTCACTAGTACTCCCTCCGTTCTAAATTACTCGTCGCAAAAATAAATATATCTAGATCATTTTTGCAACGAGTAATTTAGAACGGAGGGAGTAGATGTATAGGATTCTGCTTGATTCTCATTGTCTACGCAACTGGCCCGGTCCGTTGTGCATGCAGACATACCTGCCGCACCACATGCCGGCGGCGCTCAAGCCGTAGCGTGACGACGAGCTCCGGAACCTGCGGGGTGACGACCAGGAGGGGCCCTACGAGGAACACGACCGCGTCTACCGCTACGACGTCTACAATGACCTCGGCGACACCCGCGACGTCCTCGGTGGCTCCGAGGACCTCCCCTACCCGCGCCGCGGCCGTACCGGCCGGAAACCCTCGGCTAACGGTGCGTGCCTTCCTTCCTCCTTGTAATTATATTGACCGACATGCATGTACTTTGGTCTGACGACGACCCGCATGGCATGGCGCGGCATGGTGCAGAGCCCGACCACGAGAGCCGGGGAGAGACCGTCTACGTGCCACGTGATGAGCAGTTCGGCCACCTCAAGGAGTCCGACTTCCGGGCCTACACGATCGCGGCGCTGGTGCACGGGATCATACCGGCCATCCGCGAGTACTTTGAGAACGACGACACCCCCAGCGACTTCGACTCTTTCGCTGACGTTCTCAAGCTCTACGAGGGCGGCATCAAGGTGCCCAACGTCCCGGCCCCCGGTCCCGAGAAGGTGCGGAAGAGCTCCCAGCTCCAGCTCCAGCTTGTCAAGGACGTCATCACCCCCATGGCCGACGACCCTCGCTTCCTCAAGCTCAAGCTCCCCAGGCCGCACATCATCCAAGGTACTCCCTCCGATTCATAATAGATGTCGCTGTTTTAAACTAAGGTTCCTATCTAATAACTAAATATATATATGGCAACTGTGTGGCAGATTGCAAATCTGCCACACGGTCTCATTAACTTTGGTTTTGAATCTAGCAGACATGATCCCGCTTCCCCTGGCAGCCCCCCCTATTATCTCTCTTCCTCACCCGCTCTAGCCGCGCAGTCAGGAAGGCTTCGTGCGCCTGCGCGATGCGCTCGGCACCGGCCGCGCCGGCAAGCGTCCGTCGCCGGCGTCCTTGCCCGCGTCAGCCCCTTCTCCTTCTCTTCCTCTTCATCTCCTCCCTCCTCTCTCTACACCTGCACTGGCCGCGCCGGCAGGCGTTTGTCGCCGACGTCCTTGTCCGCGTCAGCCCCTTCTCCGCCTCTTCCTCTCCATCTCCTCCCTCCTCTCTCTGCACCTGCACCGGCCGCGCCGGCAGGCGTCCGTCGCCGACGTCCTTGCCCGCGTTAGCCCCTTCTCCTTCCCTTCCTCTCCATCTCCTCCCTCCTCTCTCTGCACCTGAGTTCGCGCGGATGCAGCTCCACCTCCCAGCCTCCCTCTGGTACTCCTTCCAACGCCCAACCGTGCTCGCGTCGCTCCGGCGAGCCAGCCGCCGCCGACGATCTGAGTTGAGCTCCGCCATGCTCCACCCTGCCTGCTCTTGCTCTCGATGATGCAGACATAAATTGGGGATGGTGACCATTACCCCTTCCCTAGTGTTTGCGAGGGACTGCAGCAGCCGGTGGTTTGCATCGCCGCACACCCACGCTTGCTTGGTATGCTTAGACTACATGATTCTCGCAAAGTACGACGGAGAATTCTCCATGTCCCAAGGGAGAATTGTGTTCTCATTCTCCCCCACAGAAGCGCCTGTCCATCTAGAAGGTAAGTTGAGTTCAGTTATCAGTGTGTGTCAGCGATTTGTTTCTGTAAAGATTTTCCTTGTTTGACCACATCATCATCATTGGATCGGAGCTTCATCTTACTAGTTTGCTACAACATTACAGCCATGCATGGCTAGCTTCTAGTTCGGTCCGTTGAATGCTTGACTGCCAAATGTTATTTGAATAACTGAAGGTATAGAAAGGGCTTTTATGAGCGATGATAAGGCCTTTACATGTGTCAAAGAGGAATAATAATCAAGAATGCAAGAGAAGAAATCGCAGCGGCAACATCCACTGAAGAATGTAAATACATTTTACTTCAGTGTACTGGTGCGAGCCTCTTTGATCCGCTGAAGGTTTTTTCCCTAGGTGTTTTTGCAGAAAATTAGATTTCTCTTGAGATTCCTCCCTGCATTATTTTTCTCTATCTTGAAGTTGAGTTTCCCTGTTAGGTCCCCACAAAAAAGGAGTTTGCCTGTAGGAGATAGAGATCATCAGTTGTTGATCTGGGGTGGTGGTGTGTTGTCTCTTTTATCTTGTCATCTATAGAAAATGTTCCTAGGTATCCTGATTTATACTGGTTTTGCAAGATTTAACATGTCCGTTTCAGAGTTTATGTCTCTCGTATGTTTGAGATGCATCTCATGTTTGCTTCAACAATCTTGTCTGCAACTTTGTAGATTGTAAGATAATCAGCCAGAACCGTAGGTAACACCAGCATCAACAACATGGTAAATTAGAGCATGCTTGGATCCGGCTAAAGTTCCAAGCTCCTGACTAAAGAGAGGCTAGGACTAGTCTTGAGGCTAAAAACTTTTAGTCATAGGAAACCTACTAAAATATGTATTAGCCCTCTCTCTCCTCATTTAATTCCTCTTCTTTAACACATGCGAGTTATGGATTGGAGGGTTTGGAGGATAATAAATGCTCAATAACTTGATTTTAGTCTCTTTAGTATTTGGATCCAAGCATGGGTGAGGCTAGCAAGTTTTAGTCCCACTACTTTTAGTCATGGGACTAAAACGTATCCAAGCACCCTCTTACTTACCGCAGGTGCGTTAACTTAGGCAGACTGGACCAAATAACTTTATGGACCTAGTAATAAAAATATTCTTAAAGTTGTTGAAACATACCTGATAACTTTTATCGGTATATCATGATAATTTACGTACTACAGACCTGATAACTTACTTGCAACACCATGGTAAATTTTACTACAGCTTTCTAAATAAAAACACCCCGATAACTTTTATGTAAATAGTATGATAATTTATGTAGTACATTTCTGATAAATTATACAAATACCATGACAATTTTGACCCGTGGGATTTTTTATTGAAAACATACCATCAATAAATTTTGTGTAAATATCATGATAATTTAGGAATTGCTTATCCGATAACTGACGTACAAACAAAGGTGGTAACTACTAACCGGGGAAAAGACGTTGAAACATACCCTCGGTAACTTATGTGTAAATAGCATTCTAATATACACACAAGTGAGTTGATAACTCACATATAAATACCACGGTAACTTTTGACCCCTGAAAGAAGTTGTTGGAAATATAACCTTGGTAAGTTGTGTGAAAATGGCAAAGTAATTTACAAACCGCATATCCGATAACTTACATACAAACAATGCGATAACTTTGATGAGCTAGAAAAATTTGTTGAAAAGCATACCCCCAATAACTTATGTGAAAATAACACGGTAATATATGAACTGCATACCCGATAACTTACGTATAAACACCGCGGTAACTGGGAGGGGGGGGGGGTGGATTTGTGTAACTTATGTGAAAATAATACAGTACGAAACAAACTGCATACCCGACAATTTGCATACAAACATCGTGATAACTTTGACCAAGTGGGAAAACGTTGTTGAAACACATAATCACGGTAACTTATGTGAAAATAGCACGGTAATGTACGAACCGCGTACCCGATAATTTATGTACAGAACACTGTGGTAACTTTGACTAATGAAAACAATTTGTTGTTGAAAACATACCCCTGATAATTTATGTGAAAATAGCACGATAATGTAGACATTGCATAACCGGTAACTTACGTACAAACACCGCGGTAACTTTGACCAAGGGAAAAATATATAGTTGTTGAAAAACATACCCCCGGTAACTTATGTCAAACTAGCACGATAAGTTGCATACCCCACGGATGGTAACTTTTGACCCAATAGCTCATGTACAAACACCGTCGTAACTTTTACCAAGGGGAAATACTTGTTTGAAAAATATAACCCCGATAACTTATGAGAAAATAGCACGGTAACATGCACAGAATAGGCTTGGTAACTTATGTAGCCCATGCGTGGTAACTTTTGACCCAAGAAAAAGTTATCGAAACATATTAATATGGGATCTAATTTCGAAGATCTCGTCGCGAGAAATCTTTTATATGAAAACGATTTTTGCATTGGACCGACGATTTGAGCTACAAAATATAAAAAATGAGGTGTGTGGTAGTTTTGCTATCTGGCACACGTGTGCCAAATATCACAGTCCATCTAATAAAAATAGTTAATACTCCTCCAGTATTTAGGTAGCTAAAAAATGGTTAATTAAACCGAATTTGCAATGTTAATTGGGATCACACAGAGCACGAGAAAGCATGGATGACTGACGAGGAGTTCGCGAGGGAGACGCTAGCCGGCGTCAACCCCATGATGATCAAACGTCTCACGGTGAGTGCAACTGCAGTGAACAATCAATCCATCCATCCATCCATCTATCGGCCATTAACAAGAGCAAATTCATCCATTATATATGCTCTATTTATTCATACCGTTTGAGGCGTGCAGGAGTTCCCTCCCAAGAGCACTCTGGATCCTAGCAAGTACGGCGACCACACCAGCACCATCACCGAGGCGCACATCGGCGAGCACCTGGAGGGCCTCACCGTGCACCAGGCGCTCACCAGCAACAGGCTCTACATCGTGGACCAGCACGACAACCTGATGCCGTTCCTCATCAACATCAACAACCTCAAGGACAGCTTCGTGTACGCGACCAGGACCCTGCTCTTCCTGCAAGGGGACGGCACGCTCGCCTCGGTCGCCATCGAGCTCAGCTCGCCCCTGCTCCAGGGAGACCTGACCACGGCTGAGAGCACCGTGTACACGCCGGAGGACACCGGCGTCGAGGGTGGGTATGGCAGCTCGCCAAGGCCTACGTCGCCGTGAACGACTACGGCTGGCACCAGCTGATCAGCCACTGGCTCAACACGCACGCGGTGATGGAGCCCTTCGTCATCGCGACCAACAGGCAGCTCAGTGTGACCCACCCGGTGCACAAGCTCCTGCACCCGCACTACCGCGACACCATGAACATCAACTCGCGAGCTCGGGGTATGCTCATCAACGCCGACGGCGTCATCGAGATGACCGTGTTCCCGGGCAAGCATGCTATGCCCATGTCTTCCATGGTCTACAAGAACTGGAACTTCACCGAGCAAGCTCTACCAGACGATCTAATCAAGAGGTGGGTAGAAATAGAATACTGACGAAACAGACAAATCGATTAATTGCAAGCCCTTGCGAGAATCGGTCCATGACAACTGACGTATCTTGACGATGCAGGGGCATGGCCGTGGAGGACCCATCGAGCCCGCACAAGGTGCGGCTGCTGATCGAGGACTACCCATACGCCGCGGACGGGCTCGCCGTCTGGCACGCGATCGAGCAGTGGGTGGCAGACTACCTGACCATCTACTACCCCAACGATAGCGTGCTGCAGGGCGACGTGGAGCTACAGGCGTGGTGGAAGGAGGTGCGGGAAGTCGGGCACGGCGACCTCAAGGATGCGGCATGGTGGCCCAAGATGCAGACAGTGGCGGAGCTGATCAAGGCATGCGCCACCATCATCTGGATTGGGTCGGCGCTCCACGCGGCCGTCAATTTCGGGCAGTACGCCTACTCGGGCTACCACCCCAACAAGCCGTCCATGAGCCGCCGACCGATGCCGGTGCCGGGCAGCGAGGAGTACGCGGAGCTGGCGCGTGACCCGGAGCGGGCGTTCATCCACACCATCACCAGCCTGCTCCAGGCCCTGGTGGGCATCTCGCTCATGGAGATGCTCTCCAAGCACTCCTCTGACGAGGTGTACCTGGGCCAGCACGACACGCCGGCGTGGACGTCGGACGCCAAGGCACTGGAGGCGTTCAAGCGGTTCGGGGCCAGACTGGAGGGCATCGAGAAGCAGGTGGAGGCCAGGAACCAAGATTCGCGGCTAAAGAACCGCATCGGGCCGGCCAAATTCCCGTACATGCTGCTCTTCCCCAACACCTCCGACCACACGGGCGAGGCCGAGGGGCTCTCGGCCAAGGGCATCCCCAACAGCATCTCCATCTGAGGAGGTCCATCTCTGCTTGCACCGGAACTAGCTAGCTAGTGTGGGAGTTCTGCCGGTGCATGCTTGCCATGGGATGACCTCAATAAGGCAATAATGCGTGCTCGACGGGTCCGATCGACACGCGGAAGCGCAGCTGGCTACTGCCTACCGGTTAATGCATCATTGTTTAGAGAAAATTTCCCTTCTTTTGGCCAATAATAAAATCTATGTTGTGATGCTCTGTTTGCCAAAAAGGGATGCATCTGCGGGCATCACTGACTAAGAGGTTTATTCAGGTTGAAGGTTCTCTTTGGGACTAAATATAATCTCTCTCAGTGTGCTTGCTTGACCAAGTAAACAAAAAGAAGCATATGCAACTGTAAACAAAACAAGCTATTGCCTATGTAATGATCAAATGGTTTTAGTCTGATTCTAATCTAGTTTCATAGATTCAATAAAATTTATTGCCCGGCGGTATGCTCATGAAACAGTTTTAATTCACCGGACAGACAAAGACCAACTGAATAAGCATGGATGCACAAACATGTATCAGAATTCAGAACTGGTCCAAGTTGTATAATTTTAGGCTTGGGTGGCATGTGTTACTTCTGAAGCCAGCTTGACTCAATAGTTGGAGCTTTCAAGCACTTCTTGATTTTGTGGTTCCTCAAGGCAGAGTAGTTATTTGCTTGATCCAAAGTTTGACATATACGATAGTGATAGATGTAAGAAGCAGAACAATGCCAAAGCCACAACCTGAATTAGAAACAAAAACCAAACTACACCTACAGATTTGCGTACCTCTATGGTAGTAACATGCCAACTCGGCCATGCTCTGCCTTGAGTTATTGCAGCACCATGAATCTGTCAAACAGTAAATTATGAGCACTTAGAAAGCATATATGAACATCTAAATCCACATACTGAACATTTATGTCAGTTCTAGTAACATATCAAAAGCAAGGAGAGAGAAGTCAGATATCACAAATAAGAGTCATATTCTGAGAAAAGGCAAGTAATAAAAATGCATAGCTGGGGCTGGCCAGAATCCCTATAGTTTGCAGAAGATTTTAAAGTTACTTTAAAGTTGAAGGTTTGAAGAAACTGCCAGCCAGATGGCACCACTTCTCTTCTATTTTACAAAACAAGACTGATTAGAACCATCAACGTACCGGGGCAAACTCTCCACTCGTACCTGGCAGAACAATCCTTCCTCGGTTGGGAGTTTCGAGGTCAGAGTTTCAGTTTCTTAGAAAGCCACTTCTCTAAACGTAATGCCTACTTGTACTAATGTTCAGATAGCTTCCAAAAAGACGCCAGAAAACGATTTCCTTCTGAAATAAAGCTATGGATTAAAGGATGGTTTAAATTATATTACTACAGAAGCATGGATTTCATTCATAATCTTGGCAACAAGTACCAGTAACAATCTAGAATAGGGAAAAAAATGACAACTAAAAACAACCGCAAGGATACTGCAGCAATATTACTTTGCTCAAAAAATACTAATTTGCTGCAGTAACAACAACACCTGACATGTAATCTAGTTCGGTTCACAAGGATGATTAAGCATAATCAAGCCATGCACAAGCCATCATCATCTCTTGAGCAGCAGAAAATCCTGGCTCAGGACAAGCCCTCATACTCTGCTCATCATCCGAACCTCCTCTGGGAGAGAATTTTAGAGATTGGACCAAAGCTAGGAGAGCAAACTATACGGTTTTTAAAATGAAAATATATGATCACCCTTACGGACGAGGACGACACGAGTAAATTACCAAACTTACAAAAGTCAAAATTCTCGACAGAAATCATGCACATGCATTCTGTATTTCTGTATATAAATACAAATTAGCACACTTTATCAGAAGAAATTGCACGTAAATGCTATACTACCCTATGTACATGAGTCATGACTGATTCTTTTTAGAACATTTTGAAACTTCAAAACACAGTTCTCAAATTTTCGAAATTGTGCAAGCAAGCTTGGGTTAAGCAGATCCATATCGAGCACCCTACCCTTCAGCATACTCAACCATTGTCGATGCGCGTGATATAGAACTTGAAGAAAAAATTGCATTAGCAGCTCTATGCCATAATGGCTATGATATCTTACAGAAGCCTCAGGTATACCCAGTGTAGCAAGCAATTATCTAGCAATGTGCACTAATTATATCTGAATACGAGGGACGGGTGAATGCAGAAAAACAACCAACTTAAAAGATAATTCGTTTTCCCATGAAGGATGTACAAGATTAACTAGTTATGAAACATGTGGAATAGAACCATACTTCTTTCATGTATTTTAGGTGCAGAAAAAAACATACAGAAATGTGTGTTCATGATTTTTAGTAAACGATCTTATCTAAGAAGGAAAATCTGTGAAATCAAACCGGAAATTATAATACATCAAAAACAGCTGCAATGATCATTGTTGCATTGCACTGTGACCAGGCATATGAACATCTTCATCTCACTACATAGACATTGCAGTCTACTAGTATGTGCACTTAAAAAAAATTGTTCAAAAAACTAGTATGTGCACTTAAAAAAATTGTTCAAAAAACTAGTATGTGCACTGTAGGCCAAACATATGCAACAAATAACAAACTACTCAAGATCTTCCCTGCAGTTTTGTGGAGCTACTTAAGCAAAATAAAAGCTTACAAGATCTTCAGGCAGCAATAAAGCCCCATATCTGTAGTTCCCGGAACATATAGCTCAAGATTCAGTTTACATCTTATACTCTTCAGTAACATTGCTTTGCTAAAAAGAGAACACTAAATTAATTAAGACAGATTAGTGAGCCAGCCTGCAGAAACCATCATCATGTCTACTTCTCTAGAGCGAGACAAACGACTATCTCTAGACATGCCATTATTATCAACTCCTCAAAGTTCAAAGGTACTCCTTTTGAGAGATGAATTTAGAGAGTTGGGAGAGCAAACTGTAGAATTCTCAAAATGGACAGAAAAACCTCCGATTCTTGAGTACTGCCTGCAGATGCATTTTCAAGAATGGTTCCTATTGCAGCTGCAAGAACCGGAGGTTCATTACAAGATACTCCATTCACCCACTTACGCACGCCTGGGCAAACTATCAAGCTCACTGACAAAAGCCAAAAAACAATGTGACCACTGAACCAAAAGGGCTACTGAATAGTGACCTAATTCATCACAAGACCCCTATTGCCTCCAAGCTTGTCATCTTTTTGTTGATGAGAGTGGCCTTCTAACCTTAAGCATATTCAACCATACCTTGTCAATGCGCCGCGTCACAGGGCATCACCCTTTCTGCAAACATAGAATTGTCGATGTGATTCCAAAAAGGTGATGCCATGATACTATATAAATTGCCAATTAAGTAAGCACAATTAGTTGTATTAGCACCCAAAGTTTGGTCGGGAAAATTTGAAATGCAACTTTATATCTGATTAGAGATTCATTATTTTGTTTGTTCCACAAACTTATATGGAGTATTAATTAACATTTGTTCCCTAAATCACAAAAATGAAAAAGAAATATAGATACAACTATACCTTGTGGATTGTAGAAACTCATGTACGGAATCAAAGCACGAAATTTCTCGCTCTTCCATATCTCCTTCCAACGCTGTGACTTGACATTAATCTCGTAGATGCCCAGGTCCGTGGTCACGAAAACGGTATCACTGCCCTCAACGGATCCAATCAGTCTAAGTCTTTCATCGGTATTTTGGATGGGGAGAAGATTCCTGAGATCGATAATTGTACGTTGACTCCATGACGCAACTCTGTTGAAATCCATTTCTCTTGACCAGATGTGGAGGGTTAACCCATCCACATGTGCAAACCCCAAACTACCATCCTCCATCGCCATGAGGATAGCGGCACCGTGTATGCCACGCCCCACAAGCGGCACATCAACCAGTGATAAGCAACTACATCTCAAGTCGTACTTGAGAATTTCTACATGGCCATCACGAGCATACACGAGCATGAAGTGAAGTGCTTCTTTGACCAGGACAGGGGGCATTCGGCCGATGAATGCATCGTCTTCAAGATGAAGACCAGAGCAAGGCTCGCCCCAGTGACGGTTATCAAACACGGGGCACGGCCTGCTCCAGTCACCGGCCTCCGGCAAGGACACGCAGGCCTGCGCAACGCAACCATTCCAGTCAAAATCTGCACCCATGCCCAGGCCAACAAAGACCACCTGGAAGGGGCCCGCATGACACGCGCGGTGGTCGCAGCCAGGCACGGCGCAGAGCACCGCGGCGCCATAGCTGTCGTGCACCAGGTCGGGCTCCGGCAGGTCCTTCCGGCGGCCCGTCATGGGGTCCCAAACGACGACCGCGATGGGCAACATGTTCTCGTCTCCAAGGAGAACGCGGCCATGGCGGCAGTCCCACGCATCGTACTTGTGGTACCCGCTCCCGCAGTCGTCCTCGTCGGGAACGCGCGCGCTGAATTTCGTGGTGGGTGTGAAGAGATCTTTTCCCTCCAGCCAGGTACTATGAAGGAAGCCCAGCATGGGGGGAGGTCCATGGCGCTCACGGTAGCGGCCGCGGAAGCAAGGGCCGGTGAGGCGGCCGAGCCAGAGCTTGCTGGCGAGGGAGGCGCGCGCGAGGTGCTCTGGCTCGCCCGGCGGGAGGCGGAGGAAGATCTCCTCGAGGAGCTCGTCCGGCAGCGATGGTACCGGCGGCGGCATGGTTGGTGGAGGCGGCGAGGATTTCGGGAGGGGAAATTTTGAGCCGTGTTGTGTGGAGGAAGGCGGTTGCTCTCACGGTTCGGTTCAGCCAGCTCTGCGTGGGGTTTCCGACAGGTGGGGCCGGGAGGACAGTGAGGGCGGCTGGTTGGATGCTTGGTTTCCCTGCCTTTTTTGGAGAAGTGCATCCCTGCACGCAGTGCATCGACGGTGCGCGTACCATCGCGATTCGAACAGCTGAATGTGCTAATTGGAGTATAGGGGAACGTTTGGAGAGTGATATGTAGCGTATATGCGTATTTCAGAGGACCCCCACGGACAGCACGATCTGACACG